AAAGAAAAGAAAAAATCGGCTAAAAGTAAGCATCCCTCACTTGGGGCTGCCTTTGCAATAGGTTCTTGCAGCTGATGCATGTTCAACCTCTGGTGTGGGGCCTTGTAAGTAGCCCCCACTTCCCTGTTAGCTTCCTGCTTCACTATTTCCCTCTTGGCCCACCCAAAGCCAATGCCAGATTTTTAACATCCGACCTCAGTGTTTTTCTGCAGTCTCAGCACCAGGCCTTGTTGCAGACAGCAAGCTGGGCTCTGCCCCTCTGTCCTGTGTCCGACACAGTGGGAACTGTGTTAGTACTCATGCTGATCCTTGCTGCTTGCACAACACAGGTGTCCCTGTGCATATTCTGTTGCATGACGTGTCCCTCCAGGGCTTTCTCCTTTCCTGGCCTTTATCCTGGCTGGAAGCAGCTGTCTAGCTGAAGGCTGGCAAAGGGTTGAGGTGAGTCTGCACTGAACCTCCTGAGGCCTCTTTGCCCCCCTCGCATGGCCTGTGCTGGGCTTGGGAGAGTTCTGGCTGGAAGCTCTGTAAGCCCTGAGGCCTGTGTTCTGCCCGCTGTGTTCTTCGTGGTGCCCTGCTGTTGTCTGCAGTGCAGAACGGCTCTGCTGACCCAGCTGGCTGCCCTGGCTCCTCTGCAGCAAACACAACACGTGCTAGTGGAGAGCTAAGGTGAAATGTGCCTGGGGATGGCAGGCAGAAGGTCCTTGATGTGCTGTGGGCATGGCAGGGGAAGCCCAGCGTTCACATGTGCAGGGCTTTGTGTTAGAGCTTCCTTAACACGGCCCCTTGCTGCCAGCCTCTTTAAAAGCGATCAGCCTTGAAATCTGCGCTGTCATCTGCCGTATCAGCCACGGCTGTTCCCCGTAGGGCAACAGTGCCCCTTCCTGACCCTGCCTGATCAGTGTCTGTGCTGCAACATGGTGAGCAGCTCATTCAAGAGATTTGACTCAGGGCTATTATGGCTGTTTTCAAATCCCTGGAGAAAGAGGAGGATGGTACCAGCCTGCTGCTTGTTCCTCCCAATTAAGAGTGTTTCCTGCCCCTCTTGTCTGCATGCCTCTCTGTAATGCTGTTTACTGCCCTAATGCAAAGACAATTTTTTTTCTTTGCAGTGCAGACTGCATTTGCAGATCAGAGCTGGTTCAGTGCTGGATCTTGTAGGCTTTTTTTTAAAAAAAAAAAAAAGAAAAAGAAAAAAAAAGGGAGCTGGAATGGATGGGCCAGATCTGCTGGAGTTTCTGTTCCACATAGATGCAGCCCTTCATTTTGGAGGAGACAGACTTGCCCGTCAGCCCTTGTGTGGGCTGTTGCACACAAGAGCTGAAGCCTCTTGAAGCAGTTGTGCTGAGCTGAACTTTGTGTCCATCCTGCATTAGTCACTCTGCTTGCTCTGATTTCTGGCGTGTGCCCAGCTAATCCAGCGCTGGAGTGGTTCCTTGGAGTGAGTGGGCAGCAGGAGGTGGGAAGAGGAGGATCCTAATGTAATTCTGCCCACACGTGTGCATGGATGGTGGGATCAAAGCGCTCTGGCTCCGAGGTACTGGAGTAACAGCCCTGGGCACAGCTGCCTTGTAGCAGGGCTCTGCCTTCACCCAGTTACTGCTCTGGAAAGCTTGTTCAGGTTTGGATGTGATCAAAAACTTACTGGAGGTGGTCCTACCACTCTGTGCTCCATCTCAGAGGCTAGCAATACCAGAGTCCCTCTCTTAGATGACTTTTCTTTCCCTCTCCCAGAAAAAAAGACTGGAAAAGAAAAGAAGAAGAGCAAAAAGGTGTCTTCGGAAGGGGAGCCTATAGCAGATGGCTCTGCTGAGGCTCACAAGAAGAAGAAGAAGGTATGTGCAAGACCCTGGGATGTGGGGTACCATGGGGAGAGCTGTTCTGAACCACAGTTGTGATGTTCATCCCTGCAACATGCCAAGCTGGAGAGGAACAAAGCCGTGTTCTGGCCTTGCTGGCAGTACAGAGGAGGCTGCCGTTAATTGTGGCTAGTCTTGAGATGCCCTGACCTCAACCTTGGTTGAGATTGCGGTGGCTTGAAGAGTGGCTTGTTCCTGTATCACCCCCCCAGGGGAGATTCCTTTCACTGGAAGGGTCAAACCCAGGGGCCCTTTGGTAGCAGAGAACCTGCCCAAGGAGTAAGTGCTGTTCTTCAGCTGTCTGTTCATCTAGTTGTTTTCAGCAGAAACGAGCTCCTGGGGGCTTGGCAGGCTACTGCATCCCATCGCAAGGGCTAGGAAGGGGCGCAAAGGGAGACTATAGGATGTTCCTTGTAATGGATATGTCCCTGTAGAGATGGTAGCCAAG